CTCAAATATTAAGTTCATGCTTACTCTGTACGTTTTCCATATTCTCAAATGTTCTTAAGTTCATGCTTACTCTGTACGTTTTCCATATTTGCAATTAACTTTCTCTTCGCCACTGCCTGTGGTCCAAACTTCATTATCAATCATTTATTTACCATCTATATCTATGTATTATCCATCTATCTATCACCTATTTATCTATCACCTACCTATCTACTTACTATCAATGACAATCATTTATATCTATCATCTATCATCATCATTTGTCTATAATCTATCTCTCTTTATCTCTCTACCTCTCTCTACCTCTATCTCTCTACCTCTATCTCTCTATCTCTCTATCTCTCTATCTATCTATATCTGTCTTCTATCATCTATCATCCTATCTATCCATATTTTCTATCATCTATATCTTTTATCTACCTATCTACTTACCATCTATCTATCCCGGGGAACTTTCACTATCATCCCTTTCAGGGAACCTTGTCCTCATCCCTTTCAGGGAACCTTGTCCTCATCCCTTTCAGGGAACCTTGTCCTCATCCCTTTCAGGGAACCTTGTCCTCATCCCTTTCAGGGAACCTTGTCCTCATCCCTTTCAGGGAACCTTGTCCTCATCCCTTTCAGGGAACCTTGTCCTCATCCCTTTCAGGGAACCTTGTCCTCATCCCTTTCAGGGAACCTTGTCCTCATCCCTTTCAGGGAACCTTGTCCTCATCCCTTTCAGGGAACCTTGTCCTCATCCCTTTCAGGGAACCTTGTCCTCATCCCTTTCAGGGAACCTTGTCCTCATCCCTTTCAGGGAACCTTGTCCTCATCCCTTTCAGGGAACCTTGTCCTCATCCCTTTCAGGGAACCTTGTCCTCGTCCCTTATCCGGGGACCTCAACAGCATCCCTTATCCGGGGAGCCTCCTCTTTCCTTTTAGGGTTTATTGCTAGCACTATTATTTCATTTTTTACTTACAACTCTAGAGTATCAGGCATCCCAGCGGTGCCTCCATTTGTCGCGAGCATCATGTTCCCCGTACGGGCCACCATTTGTCGCGAGCCGGGACTCTGCCAGCAGAGTCCAGGAAAGACGACACAGACACCAAGGTGAGGTTCAAGCTTCTGTTTCTCTTGAGTGGCAGCTCATTGGCCACGTAGCAAGATCATCAGGCTGGCAGCACCTGTTTTGGGGCTCACCATACTTCAGATTTGGGGTAAACAAGCGGGATTCACGAGCCTTGGCAATCAGCCAAGAGTTGAAGTAAACAGCACGAGGTTTGGCAGCCAGCCAGGGCTCCATCTTTGGCTGGCTCGGCTGTGCTCGCTTCCCACACTTTGGAACTAAAAAAATTTCTGTGAGTTTGTATGTGCACATGCACACACTTGTGAAGGCCAAAGTACAACTTTGAGTGTCTTCCTCTACTTTCTACCTTATTTTTTTGAGACAGGGAGCCCACTGGAGCCCACTGACTGACTCACTTAGACTGGCTGGCTAAGGAACCTCTAGGATCTTCCAGTTTCTGCCTCTCAGGGCTGGGATTACAGGCAAGTGCCACCATACCTGGCTTTTTACTTGGGAGCTGAAGATCTGAACTTAAGTCCTAATGCTTAGGCAGCGCATACTTTCCCTACTGAATCATCTCCCCAGTCCTAGAAGATTCCCCTTTGGCTTTAAGTTTATGTATGTGTATGTTTTAAACCTAGGGCATAATTCAGAATCTGGGAAAAAATGAAGAAGAAACTTGGCACATAAATTTAA